CCATTTTTCCCTGTGTTGACTTGTCAAAGCTTGACGAACTGTTTTCGGCTCCAAAATCTTCCTGTTGTTTGACTGTACTGCGATTACAAGTCCCAAAACATGTAATCTATTTTCTGTAAAACGAGGACGATTTGAGTTGACACCGGAGAAGTTGTGTTCTGACCCCTGTTCCCCCCTAACTTCTTCAGGTGTTACACGGATAGCTACTTCGGAGGCAACGGGCATTGGCTGCTGCTGACGATCACGTTCGTAATCAAGAACAACATCACACACATCTTCAGAGTCTGCTTCGCTGAGCGGAATAAACTCAGCAGCTCCAGTTGACGTGGTTGGCAAGGGGATGTCTGTTGCAGCTTCGGAAGACTCAGCAACGGATTCATCCTGTACATCTGCTTTGGCCTCGTCAGTAGCAAAAGCACGCGAGCCTTCGAACAGCCTGGCAGGATTGGCAGCTTCTGCCTAGTGAGCACAAAAAAAAGGTAAGGTGAGTCGTTCGTAGAAAAGGCAATCACGTGCCGGTACGATTTGACTCGTGCGAAGATCCATAATGTTGCATGCTTAAAACTGCTTCTCGATGCCATTATGAATTCCCCACTTAGCCCCTTCCGAAAATTTCTCGAGTGCTGCAGTTGGAGGTCGGTATTGGACGATACACCAACGAACTCTTAAAATTTTTGTGTTGCCCATTGTTTTTGTCCACTGCAGGTGTAGCGAAGAAAATTGTGGAAGTGAAGTTGTCGACAGAAAGTTGTGCAGAAACATTGCATGGTCCAAAGCATAAGTCCAAAAATGCGGTGGTAGTGCTGCCTGAGTCAGCAAGACCCGCATCTTCTCTTGCACTGTCCTGTTCATCCGCTCCGCTACCCCCATCTGTTGGTGTTGATGTGGCAGAGACTCTCGGCGCTTGATGCCTAGGGTTTGAAGATACTCAGTGAAGGTGGTGTTCGTGTACTCCTCTACTCCGTCACTCTGAAATTCTTGAAGCTTTTCTTTCGATTCTCTCTCAGCCAACACGAGCCATGCGACGAAGATAAAGTGAGCCATATGACGAGCCGGAATGTTTGTCGTCCATCCAAAAAGAGTAGAAGCCTCAATAAAGGAGATCATATCAAGCCCCCCCTTAGGTCCTGCTTTAGGTAAGTTGAGGATGTCGCTGTAGACCTTCTGCATAAGTGTATATCGAGTTGATCCTGGAAAATGGCTGGGAAAAGGTTTGTGAAGAAGATTAGCAGTTGTGCACGTTGTGGAGACTGCCGATCGTGAAGATGGCTGCATCTCGGTTCCATCCGGTTAGAGTAAGCTGGTCTTGTCAAGAACTGATGCTCGTATAGAATGATTAGGAATGCCCGGAGGCAGATGACCTAATCGTTGATGCATATATCCTCTGTTGCTTTGTGTCCTATTGATCGCAGATAAAAATCGACGTTAGTATTAAAAGAAGGAATGGCGAAAGGAGAAATCGTCGGTGATTCGTCGAGTTGTCCAGGAACGAATCGGGTAAGAGGTAACTTAGTGGTTTTAACTTCCACGTCGAGAGCTTTTTCTGGTTGCAGTAATAACTCTCCTTCTTCGATGTCTGTTTCTGTTATGTTTGCTGCAGGTTGACCGATGAAGAAAACTTTCTTGCTCCATTTTTGTTCCCATAAGAGGGTACGAGTAATCACCACTGAAGAACTTCCAGTGGATTTTGCGAGAAGGTAGAACTCGAAACTCCAAAAGTAGAAGTCAGCGTCATTAAAAGGTATTGTTGTCTTGATCTGCGTATTGCTTAAAAGATTTGGAGCCTGAAGGATAGGTCCAAAAGAAATTTGCTGCTGCGGAAACTGTTGTTGTTGTTGCTGTTGCTGCTGTTGCTGTTGAAACTATTGTTGTGCTTGTTGCTATTGCTGAAGAAATTGGAACTGTTGATGTTGAGCAGGTGTAAACGCAAACGAAGAACTGGAGCTTGGAGCGGCTGGAGCTCTTGCATAAATTGAACCATCAATACTCATACCACTGAAGGCCACTGTTACTGATGCTGCTGCTTGTTGCTGTGATGTTGCAGGTGCAGAGGACGAAGCCCCCGATGGATGCACAGTAGGAAAACCTTGCTGCTATTGAGGCATCCCGATTGAAGACTAAGTAGGTGGAAAGTTTCCAGCTACAGAGTCACCAGCTTGGCCTGTGAAAACTGTAGGATTTGTGATACCCGTGGGTCCAGTTGTTGAAGAACCAGATGTTGAAGCTAATGATGGTCCAGTCATTTGTAGAATTGACGATAGTCTTAATTCCAGACAGCTCTCATACCATGAAAGAATTAAAAGGTGGTGCAGGAGACTAAGTAAAGAATATGCAGACACAAGTACTTGAAGTAGAAAGTAATACAGGAAGTACCTCCAGTAATAGCCAATATTAACAAGTTGTAACACCAGAATCAGTGTTACAGCCTTGTGATACTTCAAGACTGGAACAAGGATCTTTGCTGGAAAGACAGCAGAAGTCTTAGAACTTGTAAGTGTTGACCAAAATTTACTGAAGAACAAGTTAATAGCTGAAGTTATACAAGCTACTCTTATATCTGCTAGTAGTACATGTTCGGTAATGTACTTGTTCAAAACTATTTGCGCTATGCGCTCTAATCGCTACTAAAAGAGGCGCGACTGTTCGCGTGACTGAAACGACCTGCTGACGTAGCCATCCAGACGAGCGCTATTTGCTGACGTCATTATACGGATGCTATCTACACTGCAATATGATAATATCTATCAGAACTACTTACGGAAATGCTTAAGTACGATTTTATCACAACATAAATTAACTCTGACAATATCATGAATAGGGTTTCAGTTAGGATTTTAGGCCGTCTGACATTCATACGGGGTTTCAAACTTTCGTCTGACCATCATACGATTTTTTTTTTTTTTGCCAGTCTGGCATTTCAGACAAAAAAATTGGCACGATCTGACAGTTCAGACGAAACGTTGCGGGAGTTTCACTATACACCAATGCCGAATGCACTACATTACACTGCTACACAAACAATTGTTACACTTGATAAACATCGTTAGCATCCATTGTAACTGCATCTACTCTAGGAATAGCTGAAAAAAACTCTATGGTGCTCCTGATGCTCCACTACCTACACTCAGGGCTCAAATTTGAATGGTGTTTCACCCTGATTGCCCTTGCCAGCGGCCGCTTTTTCAGGATTATCCTGATTTTGTAAGGCCAATTTTTCTCTGACCCTTGCTCAAAAAGTGTAAGGAATATTTTACCCTTTCGTAGTAAGAGTGTTCATCTTATTACCATGACCAGTCAGGGTGCGCAAAAAAACACCCTGAAACAGATAACTCCCAACCCTTGAAATACGCCAACTGTCGAATCTTCCACACTGGCAGGCAGCCCCGCCCACCAACAATTTCTCGTTTTGGCTGCTCCCTCCCCTAGTGTCTCTGTTCCCTATCTTCGTCTCTCTTGCTCGTTCCCCCCAACCTTGTTTGTCTCTCTGTTCCTCCCTGCCTTAGTCTCATGCTGCTTTCGTAGTCTCTTGCTGCTCCCGTAGTCTCTCGCTGCTCTCGTAGTCTCTCGCTGCTCCCGTAATCTCTCGCTGCTCCCTTAGTCTATTACTTCTCCCTTAGTTTCTCGCTACTTTGATTCTGATTTCGTTTCGATGCTAACTCATGAATACGCCCTTAGTCTCTCGCGGCGCATGTGAGTTTAAACTAAGGGTGTAAGGGCGTATTCGTGAGCGGAACGAGCAGTCTAAACTCACGATTATGCCCTTAGTCTCCCGCTGCTTTGTTAGTCTCTCGCTACTCTGTTAGTGTCTAGCTACTCCCCCCGCAAATCACCATGTCGTTTCCCCCGTGTTTCTTCCCCTTCAGCACCTCCAGCAGCAGCTCCATCTACGGAAGGAAGGAACACTGTACTGTGGCTGTTGCTGCCCCGGCCGCTATTGCTGTATCTGTGCAGTGGTGCAATGCTGGCGAAAGTAGCTGAAGTAGGAGAGGCTGTTGATGCTTTGTTGTAGTGATCATGCTTGTATGCTTGCTAGTAAGAAGAAGCTGAAATTGTAGAAGCTGTTAACTGCGCAGTGGACAGTGTGATGGCATTAATACTCTGACTCAAACATGGTATTGACTATTTTTTACGAATTCACCCTGATTTTAAAAGGGTGCTAAAAATTCCACCCTAGGAGGTAGGGTAATTCTGTAGCGGTACCCTGATTTCCAAGGGTGCCTCTAAACCAATTTTCGGCCCTGACTACACGACATCCTACATTAGGAATTAGCCTTATACTAGACCATGCTGTGCCTTGCCGCCACCTGCCTATTCGGAGTCCGAACTATCACTTCCAACCTCCCCGATGTCTTCATCACTGTCACTCTCTAGAACTTGGACCTTGTTGTTGGTGCATATTCATTTGCACGTCATCATGTCGTCTGTTCGCATCATTTCGTTTGCATCTGTTTTGTGTGCTACGTTGTTTGTATGGTTTGTTGGGTTTGCATGTCTTTGCATGTTCATCTTGTGCTTGTGCAGATGTGCTTGGATTGTGCATGACATCGAGCACATTCCAACGAGCCAAGAATTGTTGGAATCGGAGCACATATGAAGAAGTTACGAAGAAATGTTTGATGGATTTGTTACAACTCATTGGAAGTCCTTGGCAGCTGCTACACCAAAGTTGGAGAGCCCTGTAACGAGGAGGGACCAGCATGTGTGGGACTTTTGTCCCCACCTTGCAGCTGCAGCATTTGAGGTTTGGAGGCCAACCTGGCACAGTGTGAATTTTGTCTTGCCAGGCTGGCTGAGCCTGAGGATGGGGAGTCAAAACTTTGACTCTTGTCATGTTCTTGACCATGGGCCTCCAGGGTCCTTCCCTTTCATCCTTCCCTTCCTACCCCACCTTCCAACTGTGCTTCAATGCCTTTTCTATCATGCCTCTGATCTTGTAAGCTTCAATTATAGTGACTCTGAGGACTGTCAACTTCTTCTAGGGCAGATTACCCCCCAGTGCGCCAAACGCCATAGCTCACTCGTTCAGCTACGGAATCGAGTGATTCAACTTTCAGTGGAAAGCTGACGCTGCCAGCTACAACATATCCGATTTTCAGATCGTTTCACCGATTGGAGTTTTTGATATAGCTATTCGAAGGTCGCGAGTTTTCTGGGCGTCATAACGAAGTGCTGCAGAAATTTCCAAGGAGCCATTGAATCATCTGCTTATAGCCTTCTCTAACCAACAAGTGGTATCAGAGCCTATTATCACGCATTTGGGACCTAAAATACGATGGGAGATAAGGAGGACTCTGGTGGAGGTGATACTTCAGTCCAAGGAGGCAGCTCAACCCAAGATTCTGGCATTGCAGCGCAAAGGGGAGCGCGTACAAGCCAGGGGTCACTGCTTAAGGAGGTGCTGAAGAACTTCACCATTGAGAAGTTCTCTGGAGATGGCTATGATGATTGGGCATGGAAGATGCAGCTCTACTTTCGACAAATTGGCCTCTTGAAGCTCATGATTGGAACGGAGCCAAGGCCAAAGGAAATGGCAGAGCAAGCGGACTGGGATGAACGTTCATCTGCTGGGTATTATCTACTGTCACAAAGCTTGGAGCTGAACCAGAGGCATCACATCATGCATCTGCTACCGGAAATTGATTGTGGGCCCAAGGCATGGGCAGTGCTCAAGGACCTGCACGCTCCGACATCGGTTGCCGCTTCTCTCATGCTGGATCGGGAGCTGTCCATGCTGCGGTTGAGCGAGAATGAACCTGTGCAGCCCGTACTGGACAAAATGAGGGAACTCTACGCGAAATTGGCGATTGCAGGCATCACGTACCCAGAGCAGACAAAGTGTCTCAAGATGCTCAGCCTGCTGCCGGAGTCTTGGCTGCAATTTATAAGCGGACTCAGCTTGCCACAAAACCAAAGTCAATGGACATTGGAGTGGATTCGCACCAAGATTCTGGAAGAAGATTTTCGTCGCTATACACTGCGCGGAGGTGATGACAGCACCAGCGGCTATGCCATGCAAGGGACATGGAGGGATCGAGGGCGTGGCAATCGCGGTCGCTCTTACCACAGCCAAGGTGGTCGCGGGACTTGGAACCAGCGGGGGCGTGGTGGCGCTGGTGCAAGAGGAAGAGGTGGTCACTCCAACAATGACAACAGTGAACCACGCTTGAGGGGAGAGTGCTGGTATTGCAAGGAAGAAGGGCATCCATGGTTTCGCTGCCCTACCAAGCCCGACTGGTGGACCCCTTGGAACCAATCGCAGAAGGGGAATGGAGGAAAACAACCACATGGAGGTGCCAACATGGTAGCTGATCCTGCTGAAGAAACCTCCAAGGATGACAGAGGAATGGGAAATGAGGAGAGGAATGCTGGACAGTTCTACCATGTGTGTGACAAAGATGACAGTGGCACAGCTGTTGCAAGGGCTGGAGAGGAATTGCACCCGCTTGACATGTGGGTCATGGACTCTGGTGCTGCATGGACAATGACACCACGCAAGGACTTGCTGGATGCTGTGCGAGCGCCTCCAATCTCTGAAGTGCGCTCAGCGTCCGGACATGCAGTGAAGGTCGCTGGAGTTGGTCGAGCTGCATTCAGAGCACCTGATGGTGGACTGGTTGTGCTGAAGGATGTGTTACTCGTACCGGGGCTGAAGGCCAACCTGATATCGCTGCGCAAGCTAGGCCAGGCCGGAGTCAGCAGCACCACCAATGGATCCAAAACATTCAAGGGGCTGCGAGGAGATCGTGTGTTATGGGATTTACACGAAAGCAGAGATGTCTTCAGATCCATGTGGCAGATCCCTGCACTGATATGGGAATCAACAAAGAAGGAGTTGGGAGAAGTAAAGGCGGGTTCTGGAGTCCAGGGGGAGTGTAATGCAGTTAGTGCTGCAGGAGTGACGGTTTCTGCAAGGTCGGGGGAGACTGATTGGGAAACCGCACACAGGCGTCTAGGGCATGTGGCTATGCCATTGCTGC